ATTGATTGCCCCAATGAGCTCAATCCTTTGTGTGAGCATGAGGGTTGGCTTCCTGGGTTTAAGCAGCAGGACTAGCCTGCTGGTTCACTATCCTGACTGGCAGGCCCACCATGAATTAAACCTTGTGGCTGAATAGATCAAAGCGCTTGACTATCTTTTTATTCTGGCACTGGGGCGTGGTGGCCCTGTCTCTCCTTTCTCATTCACTGCCTCCACCACTAGAAAGCATGGCAGAGAGTATACAAAGTACAAGTATACAAAGCCCTTGACAGGGACAAAATATTTTCTCTCCATCCCTTTTGCCATGGGAGGGCTGGAGGCATGAATCTGCCAATTAGTTTTGGCCAAGGTCAGGATGGAGTGGACCACCCTTAAAGGACCTTCAGGAGCCAGGATATCAACCGTGGGGTTGACATGCTCAATTCTCTTCTACACCTGGAGGTTGAGGCCACCTTACAAAGGAGATCCTATAAAGCACTGTATTCCATGGGAGAAAGGCCTGTGATGGATGTGCCCTCTATCACCTCATCTGGGGAGGAAGATGAAGAGGCCAGCAGAGAGGTCACATCCCAGTCTGGGTCCAGTCCTTGGATAGGGTGTTTTCTTTGGCCATGGCAAGTTGTGTCGCAGGTGGCCCTTGGTCTTGTGGTGGAAGGCAGCCAGACATCACCTTGGAAACTCACAACTTGTAAGAGACTGACAAAGGTCCAGCAAGCAAAGTGCCCTGGGGTTGGCAGAATGCCCACAGTGTCCAATATAGCCACTGCAGTAGCTACTGAAGGGCTACCAGGTGCCTAGGAAAGCCCGCTGGCATCAACCCACCAGAGACTTCCCTCAAAGGTGACAAGAGAGCCCAAATAGGAGGACCACGGCAGAGCAGGACCAGTCAGGACTGAAGGAGAATCTGGTGCTGGTTCGCATTGCCCACAGCTTGTCAAGTGACATGACCTGGACTACTCACGGGACCAGAACAGGTGCAAAGATCACAAACATTGTCCAGCGAGTGAATAGTGTCAGGATCAAGACCGGTGCTGGGTCAATGCAAAGACAGACTATCATGCTCCAAAGAGTGGCAGAGAAGTGAGGCTCAAAAGAATGGGGCTGAGGCAGGACTACACACTCTGAAGAGCAGTGCCAAGAAGGATAGTGCTGAGGCTCTAAGCATGCTGATGGTGCTCATAAGAGCATAAGCTTGAACAGTGCCAGGATCTCTGATGCCATGAAGTGCTTTGGTGCCATGTGCTGCAAGGACGGCTGGACTGCTATGATCACTCCAAGCCAGACCAGTATCTGCTCACAACAGATGCACTCCAAAGGGAATGGCTCTAAGAGGTCTGGCTGAGAGAGTGGTGTCACGAGTCAGACCATTCTTTGGAGTGGTGGCAGGACTCTGAGCTGTGCCAGGACTCGAACTGGGGAGACAACGGAACCAGAGCAGGTGGGCCCAGCATAACTGCCTTCCCTCATTAAGAGTGCCAGCAAGCAGGTGGCCTGTCGATGGGGACCTGAGCAGCCCTGAATGTGTCTAGTGTGAAAGATGGGCCGACCGCCACCACTTCCATTCTTGTTGAGCCCATGAAGATAGGGCTCAGAATACAAGACCAGAACAACAAATGCGCACTGATAGGGCCTTCAGATACGGCTGGCATGGGCAAAGCGGAGGTGCTACTGATGCCAACAAAGAGGACTTTTACCATTCTGGAGAAGAGCGTTGGGGAATAA